AGATGGGAAGGTCCCATGAGCGGAGGCCAGGCAAAGCCCCCCACATTTGCCTGGGCAGCAGAAGAGGCAAACTGGCGGGCAGAGGCTCCGAGTGGCGGGAAGTGATTTTGGAACAAAGCAGGTGGTTCGGAGGCCAGCGAATCCAGCCCCAGTGGGGCGAAATGGCTGCAACGTGGTATTATCCAGCTGGCCGCGGCGGGTGGGGGGACGGTGCATGGATCTGTTGAAGGGCTGCAGCAGTTTCCCCCCCCACAGCGGGCAGAGGGGGTGTGTGTGCAACACATCCCCCAATAACACCCCACCCAGGGCCGCTCCTGGCTGGGGCAGTTCACGCAACAGCCTGGGCTCAGGATGGGGACTCCCCGCTCCAGCTGTAAAATCCACCCAGTGCCAGAAGCCAGCGGCAGGGCCTCGCCCATCACCTAATGGGAAAGCAGCATCTCCCCCTCACCCTAAGCACCGTGACAGGGAGCTATTGCCCCCCACCAGCAGCCAGTGACTGCCCTGCCCACGGTCACAGCTCTGCTTGGTGGCAGTAGCAGAGAGGCAGTGTCCAGTCAGTTACTAGCTGTGCCTCCCCCAAAAAAGCTGGTCATGCAGGAGGGCAAATGCCGTGGATGTGGCACGGGCCACCTCCCTTCGGGGGTGCACCGGCCCGCTGCCTTTGGAGAACCGGTGGTAATGCCTGGGCTGTGGGCTGGCCTGTGCTCTGCCCCCGAGGTCCTGCCCTCGCTCCACCTCTTCCCCTAGGGCCTCCCCCGCCTGCCACTTGCTCCTTCAGAGGAGTGAGTGGGGGTGAGTGGGGTCTTGGGGGAGGAGGCGGAGAGGAGTGGCAAGTGGGTGGGGACTTGGGCCCTGCTGCCTCCCCACCCATCCCCCTCCCGGCCCCCGCTGCCTCCCCGGGCCCCCCACCCATCCCCCTATCGCCCTTGGCCCCCACTGCTTCCCTGGGCTCCCCATGCATCCCCCCATCGCCCCTGGCCCCTGCTGCCTCCCCGGCTTCCTCCCCCTATCGCCCCTAGTCCTCACTGCCTCCTCGGTCCCCATTGCCCCAAGCTCCCTTCCACAGCCTGGCACTCCAGGCCTGCCCTGCTCCGTGCCTTTTGACCAGGGCACCTTGGATGGTCGCCCACCCGGAAGACTGACCCTGCAGGTTTCTCTTCTCAGTTTTACATTTCTGGGGAGATGAACGTGGTTAACATACAGTTTGGGTTGTGACGGGTCCCCAGAATTCCATGCAGCTGTTGAAAACTGGAGCTGTTTTCCCACACTTTAGGAGAACGTCAGGGGATGGATCACTTGATGATCACCTGTTCTGTTCATTCCCTCTGGGGCAGCTGGCACTGGCCACTGTCGGAAGACAGGACACTGGATGGACCTTTGGTCTGACCCACTCTGGCCATTCCTATGTTCTTATCCCGGCTCTGAATTAGTCTGGAAGCTCTTCAGGGCAGGGCTGTCTTAGATTTTTAAAGGTATTCAGGCCCCTAACTCCCATTGAAATCAGTGGAAGTAAGGCCCCAAACTACCTTGGAGGAGTGTGGGGCTTGTTCTGCGTGACTAGGGTTACCAACTTTCTAATCGCACAAAACCGAACACCCCTGCCCTGCCCCTTCTCCGAGGCCCCGTCCCTGCTTGCTCCATCCCCCCCTCCCTCTGTTGCTTGCTCTCCCCCACCTTCACTCACTTTCACTGGGCTGGGGCAGGGGGTTGGGTTGGGATGTGGGAGGGGGGGTGAAGGCTCCAGCTGGGGGTTTGGGCTCTGGGGTGGGGCTGGGGATGAGGGGTTCGGGCTGAGGGGGAGGGCTCCGGGCTCGAGCAGAGGGTTGGGATTCAGGGGGTTATGGGCTCTGGGCTGGGGGTGCAGGCTTTTGATGGGGCCAGAAATGAGGGGTTTGTGGTGCAGGAGGGGGCTCCAGGCTGGGGCAGGGGGTTGGGGTGTGTGCGGGGAGGTAAGGACTCTGGCTGGGGGTGCAGGCTCTGGGTTGGGGCTGGGTTCTGCATCCTGATTTTATCTACCAATATTAAAGAGGCCAAAGCAATTACCAGGGTGGTGGGTGAACCTCCCATTTGGGGAGGCTAGCCCACCAGCCCCACCCCTTGAGGCCAAGCCCCCGGCAGCCTGAGCCCCGAGATGCCCCCCCTGCGACCAGAGGAATCATAGAATCATAGAATCATAGAATATCAGGGTTGGAAGGGACCCCAGAAGGTCATCTAGTCCAACCCCCTGCTCAAAGCAGGACCAATTCCCAGTTAAATCATCCCAGCCAGGGCTTTGTCAAGCCTGACCTTAAAAACCTCTAAGGAAGGAGATTCTACCACCTCCCTAGGTAACGCATTCCAGTGTTTCACCACCCTCTTAGTGAAAAAGTTTTTCCTAATATCCAATCTAAACCTCCCCCACTGCAACTTGAAGACCCAGGCCACCCGCCTCAGCCCCCGAGTAAGCTGCCCATGCCCCCAAGCACCAGGCTGGCCAGAGCACCCAGCTGAGCTGCCAGCCCCACCCGAGCACCGGGCTGGGCCACTAAGCTGAGCCCCTTCCTGGGCTGGCTTAAGCGCTGCCCTGGCCGCCGGTGGGCCTGAGCTCCAGGCTGCTGGCTGGAGCTGAGCCCCCGCCAGCTTCTGGGTAGAGGGAGAGGGAGGGCGGGACGCCCAGGGGAACATGGGTGGGGCCACAGCCTGGGTCAGGGGAGGCTTAGCCTGCCCTGGTCGTTAATACCCGCCGCCCATGGCAGTTACCCCAGAAACTCCCTGCCACTCAGCGGAAAGGACCGTGTTCTCTCCATTAGGAGACGGGGCTGAGCAAGAAGCTCCCAACTTCACGTGCTGTCATCAATAAATGATAAATGAAAAGCCCTCGGCTTGAGTCGGCAGCAGCAGAGGAGCTCGGGGTTGGGCGCTGGGTTTGGAGAAGGATTTACATTCCCTGCTGGGCAAAGGCCGTTCCCCGCCAGTAGAGGAGAAGTTTGTTTCAATTGGGAAAGTCCATGGGCCACTGAAGGTCTATCTGCACCGCCTTGTAAACCCAGGTCTCCTCTGGCTCAGGTCTGGGACTTGAGCTGTGTCCACACTGCACCATGACAAGGCTTGGACCAGAGCCACAGCAGGACTCGGGCTCTGAGCCGTTCCCCTATTGGGGCCCGTGACACGCACTGACCCGAGTCACACTGATTTGTGTGTGGACGGAAAGGGGGCTTGGGCTCAAACCTGTCACAGCCCAGGCTTAGTGTGCAGTGTAGGCATACCCTGTGTGGCATCAGCTCTCCCCAGTCCTGTTGAGGCCCCTCCGCATGGTACTGAAGCCACAAGGGGGTCGAGGTGGAGCTGTGGCCAGCTGGCTGGGAATGCATATCAGCTCCACTGTGGCCTTTAGAACTTACCCAGTGGAGAAGGCACAGCTCCGGGTCACGGTACCATTCCCACTGAGCGCGCCATCTGGGTGTCTGTGGGCAGCTGTAGCCAAGGGAGATCCCTATTGGTTCCAGCCTGGGGGGTCTGATCTGGTGCAGGGGCCCCGGGACATTACATGGATAGCCCTGCTTTCCTGGGCATCCCCTAGGATCCATGCAGGTTCCGGTGAGACCCGTGGCTGCTGCTGTCTGGCCTCTGCAATAATTCTTCAGGGCAGGAGATGCGGGGAAGGGGGATCATTGGCTTTCCCCAAACGCCTGATATATTATCACTAAGGCTAAGATTTTGTCATGGATATTTTTAGTAAAAGTCGTGGACAGGTCACGGGCAATGAAAAAAATTCACGGAAGCCTGTGACCTGTCTGTGACTTTGACTAAAAATATCCCTGACACAATGGGGAGCCCAGCTGCGGGGTCTCCACACTGCTTGCTGAGGTTAGGCAGCTGCAGGGGCTGCTCCAAGCTCTGGGGGCCCCCACTGCTTGTGGGGGCTTGGAGCTCCAGGATCCCCCACCTGGAGCTCTGGGGTACCCCTGCCACCTGCAGCGGCCAGGAGCTTTGAAGGACCCCCCAGTGCTCACAGCAGCTCAGAGCTCCTGGGTCCCCTGCCCCCGTGGAGGCTGGGAGCTGTGGCAGGGGTCCTGCTGCCTACAACAGCTTGAAGCTCCAAGGGGCCCTCACCACCCATGTCCACTGGGAGCTGTGGGGACCTCTGCTGCCCACGGCAACCAGGAGCTGCGGACCTGCCACCCACGGTGGCAGGAAACTCCGGGGTCCCCCTGGCACCTGTGGCCACGAGGAGCTGCGGGGGGCCCATGCAGCTCCCAGCCAACAGGGCTAAATTCATGGAGGTCGCTGGAAGTCACAGATTCTGTTACTTCTGCAACCTCTGTGGAAAAATTGTAGCCTTAATTATCACTGAATGTTTCACTACCACTTTGTGTGCCTCTGTGGGCACAGATCGCACTGTCTCCGACCCTTAACGCCCAAGGCAAACTTTGCAAATGCAGCTGATTGACTGAGCAGGTTTAAGATTTTACTTTGAAATCCCGCTCAAAACTTCCTTCATTAGGGGCCCTTCCTCACCTGACACAGAAAGGATGGTGGGAGAGGAGGTGGAAGGTTGGTAGGAGATAAAGTAGAAAGGGCAGAGCTTAGGTTATTTGCACGGCCTTAACTGTGCATTTCATCTTTGCCATGTTTTGGAAGGAGTTTGCCTTGGTGTATAAACAGGATCAGGGCCTAACTTATGTTTGTCAGTTTTTTATATTAAACCATAAACAGAAACCTCCAATGGGCCTATATGTCATTATGTTTAAATGGCTATTTTATGTATTTAATTTTGAAAAAGCTACAGTGTTTTCTCAGGGTTTTTCCTCCAAAAGAAACAGAGATTTATCACCTTCCCCCCAGTTCAGAACTGCTCTTTGCCTGGGGGAATTTAATATCGGTCCCTTCACAGAGAGCTTTGCATTTCTCTGCACAGTCTCCAGGGGCTGAAAATCAAACAGGCTTCCCCCCAGCTCAGCCAATGAGAAAGACCCTAAGTGAAGAAACACCCAATTGTGGCTGCAGTCTAAAGGCAGGAAAGTGAAATGAAACCTGTCACTTTCCCCCGCTGGGAGCCATGGCTGCAGAGAGCCCTGTACAGAGTCTCCAGGATGAAGCTTCTTGTTCCATCTGTCTGGAGTATTTCAAAGACCCAGTGTCTATCCACTGCGGGCACAACTTCTGCCGGGCCTGCATCACCGACTACTGGGAGGAGTCGGATACCAACTTCTCCTGCCCTCAGTGCAGAGAAACCGCCCAGCAGAGAAACTTCAGGCCCAACAGGGAGCTGGCGAAAATTATCGAAATAGCCAAGCGGCTGAGTTTACAGGCAGCCAAAGGCTCAGGAGGCGAGCGAGTGTGTGAGAAACACCAGGAGACCCTGAAACTGTTCTGCGAGGAGGATCAAGCCCCCATCTGTGTGATCTGCCGAGAGTCCCAGGCTCACAGATCTCACACCGTGGTTCCCATAGAGGAGGCTGCCCAGGAGTACAAGGTAGGGAAGCCTAGCATATTGTAACAGGCAGGAGTTTAAATAAGTAAAGCATCGCATAGAATGGGATCTTCTACTGTGAATTTCTAGACTTGCATATATTTAGGTTTCTCGCCAGTTTCATCTGAATGCCTCATTTCCTGTACATATATATATATATATATATACACACAAACATAGCATGAAGAAGACAGGAAATGACACACTTATGTTAATGATCTCTGCTCTCAACCTCTTGCCGAATAACGTCTGGGAGTTGGATCAAAGTGATGCTGAACTTTTGCTACCTAATAGTTCTGTTCAAAGTGACATTGTTCAGGAGCTGAATAAAACGGATGGAGCTAATACAGGGCCCGATTCAGCAAAACGCTTAGACATGAGCTTAACTTTAAGAGCGTGAGTTATCTGACTGAAGACAATGGAACTATTCCCTGGATCTAACGCAATGGTCACCAACTGGTAGATTGCAATCGACCGGTCGATCCTGGAGCCTCTGCCCAGTCGACTGCGATCTCTGGCTGCTAAAAGTCCAGCAGCGCAGCAGGTCTAAGCAGGCTCCCTGCCTGCCCTGGCCTCACGCCGCTCCCAGAAGGGGCTGGCATGTCTCTGCGGCCCCTGGCGGGAAGGGGGCAGCGAGCCTCTGTGTGCTGCCCGCGCCTGCAAGTTCCCGGCCAATGGGAGCTGCGGAGTTGGCACGGGTGGGTGGGGGGCCATCGGCAGCGCAAGAAGTCGCCTGCCCCTCTATCCCCTACCCCCCCCGCCCCCAGGCCACAGAGACATGCCAGCTTCTTCCCAGAGCGGTATGGGGCCAGGGCAGGCAGGGAGTCTCCCTCAGACCCGGTGCACTGCTGACTGGGAGCAACCATGGACCCCTTCCTGCACCCCACCCCCCTGCCCCAGCCCAGAGCCCCCTCCTGCACTCAAACACCCTCCCAGACCCTGCACTCCCTCCCACACCCCAGAGCAATGAAACAGCCCTGCAGCCCAGTGGCACTGACTTTGTGGTTTCCCTGGGGGTGCTTGACCCCTGCTATGCCCAATGCCCCGCCCTCACTTCATCCCTTCCCCCAAGGCCCTGCCCTGTTCCATCCCCTCCCCCGAGTGCACCCCACCCTCGTTCCGCCTCCCCCACCCCGCCCCAGCGTGTCCTGCATGCCACTGATCACTGGTGCATGAGAGGTGCTGGGTGAGAGGAGGAGGAGCTGATCGACGGGGCTGCTGGTGGGTATTGAGCACCCACGGATTCGGTGCCTATGCTGCAGCCCGAGCCCCACAAGCCCCTGCCCCAGCCCTGAGCCCGCACCCAGCACCCAAACTCCCTCCCAGAGCTTGCACCCCTCACTCCCTCCCACACCTCAACACTTTGGCCCAGCCCAGAGCCCCCTTCTGCACCCAAACTCCCTCCCAGAGCTCTCACCTCTCACCCCATCCTGCACTCCAACCCCCTAATCCAGGCTCAACCTAGAGCCTCCTCCCACACTCCAAACCCCTCAGCCCCAGCCCAGAACGTGCACACCCTCCCGCACTCCAACCTTCTGCCCCAGCCCGGTGAAAGTGAGTGAGGGCGGGGGAGAGCGAGCGACGGAGGGAGGGGGAATGGAGTGAGCAGCGTGCGGCCTCGGGAAAGGGGCTGGGTAGATTCTGGGTTGATCTTAAATTCAAAAAGCGATCTTGTGCATAAAAAGGTTGGAGACCACTGATCTAATGAAAGCATGTGTTTCAGTGTTTTGCTGAAGAATGGCCATTCTTTTCCTTTGTCTGTGTCACTCCTTTTATTCCTGACACGGGAATCACTCACCTCTTGGTTTCCAAACATGCGGATGTCTCAGAGGCCAGGGGGCTAAGGACTATACAGAGGTCCAAGATTGTAACATCAGTAACCGGTAAAACAATCCAATGAATTGGAGGAGACAAACCTGGTGGCCAACTATGCATGGCTGTGGAATCATTTTCTCCTTTTGAGTTAAATCAGGTGCAAGCATTTAAACAAATACAGTCATATCCGTGAAGCCGGGTTATAGTTTGTAGGGACTGAATTCTCCCTACGCCACTATCCAAAGAAGGGAAAAAACGTTGAACACCCAACATTATTTCCTTGCCAGGAAAAACTCCAGATCCAATTACAGACTCTGAAGGAAGAGAGAGAAAAGCTGATGGGATTGAAACTGACCAAAGAGGCAAGAATCTGGGAGCATCTGGTAGGTATCAGGTTATTATTATCCAGCAAGGACATGTAGGTGCGTGTCCCTCCCAAGGTGCGAATCACTCTGGTAGTCTGGGGGATGGGAGAGGCTGTGTCTCAAACTTTGACCATGTGTCACTGAGTGAGATCCTGTGTTTCTATGTTCCCCTTTGGGGATGTCCCATCTGTGCCGGCTGGATTGTGGCAGACACTCTGTGTCCTGCACTCGGGCTGATGAAAATGCCCCTGGACTCTGATATGTGAAGGGGGAGAGATGCAGTGCGTGATCCTGGGCTGGCTAGCACCACGCATGAGGTCATGGCCTGGCCGCCTCCTTTCCCTCTCCTGAGCAGCCAGGAGCATCACATCTGCTCCAGGGGCACAAGGCAGCTTGTGTGGCCTTCCCCAGGAGATCCAGAAAGAGCCTGTTCTCCCCTCATCCCTGCTGAGTCCAGGCTCAGTCTGGGCCTGTGTGTCTGTGTTTGGATGGGCCGGGAATTACTGGGTTATTTGCACCCCTAGATGGCTACGTGTTTGGGCATCTCTGGGAGCGACTATCAGGATTTCCAGAGTTAATGTATTAGAGGGTTAAGCTGTCTGTTGAGTTCTCTTTTGTTTCATTCTTTTTCATTCGTTTGCTTGCCCCAGCCTCTCTCACTCCCAATGTCATCCAGAGTATGTCTACACAGCAACTAGACACCCGTGGCTGGCCTGTGCCAGCTGACTCAGGTTCGCAGGGCTCAGGCTGTGGGGGTCTAGGACCCTGAGAAGTGGAGGGATCTGGGACCCTGAGAAGTGAAGGGTCCCAGAGCTCGGACTCCAGCCCGAGCCCAGAAGCCTACAGAGCAATGAAACAGCCCCGCAGCCCAGTGGCGCTGACTTTGTGGTTTCCCTGGGGGTGCTTGACCCCCGCTATGCCCAATGCCCCGCCCTCACTTCATCCCTTCCCCCAAGGCCCTGCCCTGTTCCATCCCCTCCCCCGAGTGCACCCCACCCTCGTTCCTCCTCCCCCACCCTGCCCCAGCGTGTCCTGCATGCCACTGATCACTGGTGCATGAGAGGCGCTGGGTGAGAGGAGGAGGAGCTGATTGACGGGGCTGCTGGTGGGTATTGAGCACCCACGGATTCGGTGCCTATGCTGCAGCCCGAGCCCCACAAGCCCGAGTCAGCTGGCACAGGTCAGCTGCAGGTTTTTCTTTGCTGTGTGGACATAACCTCAGGGTCTTAACTTAACTGTCTTAACTTCTCCTTTAGGGATCTACCTGGAAGGTCACAGACTCTATCGTGTCAGGCACATTGACACACCAGTCAGATTACAGCAAGCAGGGAACTGTAGGAAAATCTTCCCCTGAACAATACTGGGAACTAGAAAAGTTCCTGGAGGACAGTCCATCAATGGCTCTTAGCCAGGATGGGCAGGGATGGTGCCCCTCACCTCTGTTTGCCAGAAGCTGGGAATGGGTGACAGGGGATGGATCACTTGATGGTCCCCTGTTCTGTTCATTTCCCCTGGGGCACCTGGCACTGGCCACTGTCGGAAGACAGGATACTGGGCTAGATGGACCTTTGGTCTGACCCAATCTGGCCATTCTTATGTTTTTATGGGAAAGTTTCCCTCAAGCGCAATTTAAGGTTGCAGTAAAATACCCCCTCCACCCCCCACCCCCATTGAGCACCCAGGGTCTCATCTGGAGCTGGCCTGAATTGGCAGAGCTGCCTTGACACTCATGGAATTAAACCAGCTGAAGATCTGGCCCCAGGTGACTCACTCTGTGGGCCCTGCCCTGCCCGTTCCCTTCCTCGTTACAGGAGCAGGTAGAAACCGAGAGGCTGAAGATTCTGTCTGAATTTGAGCAGCTGCGGCAGTTCCTGGAGGAACAAGAGCGATTCCTGCTGGCCCGGCTGGAAGAGCTGGACAAGGAGATTGAGAAGAGAAGGGATGAGAACATTGCCAAACTCTTGGAGGAGCTTTCCTGTCTAAATGACATGATCAGTGAGCTAGAGGGGAAGTGCCAGCAGCCAGCGAGTGAATTCTTGCAGGTGAGATACTGGATCCTTGATATGCAAGAGCCTTGGAGTCCAGGAGTCAAATGCCAGAGTAGAACTCACAGGTTATGCAGCTCAAATATAATTTTTTTCTGTTTCTAACCATTAGTATTATTATTGGTTTCATTGTTCGGAGAACCTGGGTATTTTAAATCAAATATAATCTATGTAGGTACTCAAATGACCCCCATGATCATCGGATCTACATGCCTCCCCAAAATTAATGCATTGATCCTCTTTTTAGGGAAGGATTATTACCTGCATTTTACAGATGCGGGGGACTGAGGCAAAGAAGCCTGGATCCCAAAGGGTCTTGGGATTGCAAGGCCTAACTTTCAGGTTCCTAGAACATCACTAGGACAACAGTGGGATCCACAACGTTAGGCCCCCAGGCTCCCTACACAATGCACAGGCAGATCTAGGCACCGAAGAACAGGAGCCACAAAAACCAGAATGCCAGGCAAGGAGCTGCCAAAGCTGGCCGATGGGAGATGCCAAGGAGAGGAGTGTGTCCCGAGCCCCGCCACTCTTACAAAGGAAGGTGCCCAAATCCGGGCTGCAGGGGAGGCGCCTGGCTCTTGCTTGTGATCCGCAAATGGGAACCCCTTCCTTGGAGGCTGGTGGCTTCTGGTGCCTAAATCGTTCTTGTGAGAATGAGTCAGGTGGGTAACTAGTGCCAAACAAAGCCACTCTGGTGGCAGAGCCGACTCGCCCTTGTAACCTTTAGCTCAGTAATTAGGGTCCTCAGTTGGGAGGTAGGAAATCCTGGTTCAATCCCTGCCTGATGAGAAGAAGAGATGTGATGGGGTTCCCCACCTTAGAGGTACACACCCTAACCACTGGCCTAAAGAATGGATTTCAACTTACTTCTCTTCTAGCCCACTCAAAGGCAGGGGCACAACGGACTAAGCAGTTAGGTACAAAGAAAAGCCCTAAGGTTATACCCTGAAATCATCTAAACGGCTACCGAGATTGGTCTGTGTTGCATCTCGTTGATTTCACTCAGGTTCCTTCTCTCCCTTCCCCTTCTAGGATGTCCGAAGCACCTTGAGCAGGTACGTGGCGCCTTCTCACTCCCACTCACAAGTTTCCATGCTGTTCTTATGATCGGTTTGTATTGTGGTCGTGTTTAGGGGCCCCAAACCACAGACCCATAGGGCTCCATTATGCTAGGCAATGGACAAAAACGTAACAGACGCTCCATGCCATAGGTGCTGATTCCGTGGCTGGAGCACCCACGGAAAAAAATAGTGGCCCCGCCGATCAGCTCCTCCCCCTCCCTCCCAGCGCCTCCCGCCCGCTGCGGATCAGCTGTTCAGCGACGTGCACGAGGCACTAGGGAGGAGATGGCAGAGCAAGGATGGGGCGTGCTCCAGAGAGGGGGCAGAACGAGGTGGGAAGAGGCAGGGCAGGATGGGGTCTTGTGGGAAGGGATGGAGTGGGGCGGGGCCTGGGGCAGAGCTTGGGTTGAGACCCCTGCTGAAAAGAGGAAGCCAGTGCCTGTCCTGCCATACATCTCACTGGGAAAGGATCCCTCCTTCCTTGCCCTTTGACTAGGACAAGCGTAGCTGTCCTACGCTCCAGAAAGCCTTACCTTGCAGGCCCCCCCGAACGAGGAGACCTGGGTGCTTTCCTCCTCCTAGAGGGAAGGCGGAGTGAATTTCCAAACATACAGCGGCTTTCGTAGTGAAACAAGATTGATGTGAACATAGAGCAAGAAGATCATTTTAAAAAAATTGATGATCTCCACTTATCTATGTTTATATCTCTATTGGCTGAGAGCAAAATTCTTGGCGATCTGATGACTTTTGGGTGATGCATGAGACAAGCTGGAGCTGTGGTGTTCTCTCAGTCCGCTTCCAAGCGCTCAAAGGGCCACATCACAAAGATGTACAGCACAGAAGTCATATTTTTTGCCCGTTATTGGTTAATCGCAGCAGGAAAGCCAAGGATCGAATTGGCCGTGGGTTCAGATAGATTTTGTCTGGTCCATCGATAAAGCACAGGAATAAAACTCTGTTGGGGAAGCTTCCACTGAGGGTTTGTCTACACTGCCACCTTACAGCGCTGAAACTGTCAGCTCCGGGGTGTGAAAAAACACCCCCCTGAGCGATGCAAGTTTCAGAGCTCTAAAGTGGCAGTGTAGACAAACCCTCAGTGGAACCTTCCCTAACAGAGTTTTATTCCTGTGCTTTATCGATGGACCAGACAAAATCTATAGCACTCCCAGCGCTGGTATAGCACTCCCAGCGCTGGTAGCTACTCCCCTCGGGGGGAAGGGGGTGGTGGTTTTCCTACAGTGCTGGCAGAGAGCTGGAACCGTGACTACACAGCCAGGTTAAAGGGCTGCCACGGCCGTGCTTTAATGTTGGTAGAGAAGACGTACCCTGAGGCTGGGGTATACAAAGGGGTGAAATCCTGGCCCCACTGAAGTCAAAAGAAATTTTGCCATGATCTTCACTGGGGTCAGGGTTTTACCCCAGTCCGATCAGGACAGCAGGGTTCCTTAGCATGAAAGTCATGGGGAAAGATGATTTTTTAAAAACAGCAAACAAACAATGGAGAATAAGGAATAAACTAACTAATGAATTAGAAGAGTCTGTTTCTATCCAGGTGTGAGCTGGGGAAGGTCCCGCAACCGGAGGAGGTTTCTCCTGAGCCGGAGAAAACCCCCAGCAGCATCTCTCATAAAACTATTGCGCTAAAGGAGACTCTGAGGAAATTCCAAGGTACGGAGAAGGGATCTGAGAAGAAGGGAACTTGACATATGACAGTGGGAGGAGATGGGCCAATTAGCTGCTCATGTAAAGTCCAGACAATAAGAGTAAACAATGATCTTATCATTACTGAACTCTGTAAGGGCCTAGAGCAGAGGTTCTCAACCTATTTTGGCTAGGACCCCCTTTGAAAATATTTCAGGCTGTGACGACCCCCCTCAAAAAGTGAGGACCCCATCCATACCACGCCTTCCTTACTTCTGCGGTGCTGCTGGCGACAATGCTGCCTTCAGAGCTGGGAGCCTCAGCCACTGCTCTCGCGACCCCCCCTTCCAATAGTCTTGCGATCCCCTTTTGGGTCGGACCCCCCAGTATGGGAAATGCTGGACTAGAGGAGATTCCTTGGGACTAGCCCATAGGATGAGAGCTTGTTGGAAAGTGGGAGGTGTTTTTTCTTTCACACGCTTAATTTTGAAAATGTTTCTTTACAAATAATTCGTAAGTCTTATCTAGGTTTCTTTTTCCCGTGGGCAGTTCTATCCTCCCCAATGCCCTCACCTACCACCCCTGATCCCTCCTTTCACCCTGCACCCCCCTGGGCTATCCTCTTCTCTCCTTCTACCTCTTCTCTGCTTTTCCCTCTTGGCTGAGGGACCCACCCAGGCTGCTGATGCTGGTGTCCCTCCACTCAGGGCCGGCCTTAGAGAAAATGGTGCCTGGGCGCACGGGTGGCAGGTGAACCCCACCCTTTGGGGTTCTGCACTGCTGGAGCCCCAAGCCCTCCCTGCACTGCTGAAGCCCCGAGCACTCCAGCTGCACCGGCCCAAGCTGCCTCAGCCGGCCCAGCCCCTGGCCGCCAGTCCGAGCTGAGTCCCTGCCGGCTTCAGGGGAACGTGGGTAGGGCCTTGGGATGGAGCACGGGTGGGGCCACAGCCTGGGATAGGGGAGGCTTAGTCTCCCCTGGCCTTTGATATTCACCGCCCTTGCCTGGGCGAACTTGTATTTTGGTGCCCCTGGCCCCCACAGGCGCCCCACCACCCTATCGCCCCTGACCCCCACTGGTCCCCCTCATCCAGGCCCCGCCGCCTCCCCTCAGGGCTTAATTTGTATTGAAAGAGGTGCCGGGGCTCAGCCCCGGCACAAATGAAGCACTGGCTGTCAGCAGGTCAGTGGGTAGGAGGTACCAGCGCAGCGTCCCCTTGAATACCACACCTTGGGCGGCGGCCCAGCCCACCCACCTCTAAGGCCGGTTCTGCCCCCACTCTCCCCAGCGCCGTGGCTAGGAGTGGGGCAGCAGGGTGGGAAACGGAAAGGCAGAATCTGGAGCCAAAACTACAGCTGTAACAGCACCTCTAGTGCCCGGGAGAAGGGAATCGCGGTGAAATCCCGGCTCAGCCCCAGCAGAGGCAGCTTGCTGAGATCCGGGACGGAGAGGCAGGAAATCAGGGAGGGTCCCAGCCGGGACGGGGCTGCTGGGGAGTGTGAGAAATGGTCCCAGCCGCCCCCAGGGCTGAGCTCTGCCCCTAACGCTCTGATTCTCTCTTGGTCCCCCCCAGCGGATGTGACTCTGGATCCAGACACGGCTCACCCCCGCCTTGTCCTGTCTGAGGATGGGAAAAGTGTGAGATGGGAAGACACGCGCCAGCACATGCCCGACAATCCCAAGAGATTTGATTCTTCTCGCTGTGTGCTGGGCCTGGAGGGCTTCTCCTCGGGGAGGTATTACTGGGAGGTGGAGGTGGAGGACGGGGGAGCCTGGGCTGTAGGGGTGGCCAGAGAGTCTGTGAGGAGGAAGGGACGGGTCAATGTTAACCCGGAGGAGGGTATCTGGGCCGTGGGTCAATGTGGGACTCAGTACCTGGCTCTCACCTCCCCCAAGATCCCCCTCTCCCTTGCTGAACGGCCCAGGACGATCGGGATTTATCTGGACTGTGAAGAGGGGCGGGTGGCATTTTTTGATGCCGATAACGAGGCCCCGATCTTCACTTTCCCACCGGCCTCTGTCCCTGGAGAAAAAATCCTCCCTTTACTGTGTTTGGGGAGAGGATCCCAGTTCAGATTGTGTCCCTGCATCACAGGGTATAATATAGAGCCTTAGAAATACACATGGTTAGCCTCACACGGCACAGTTTGCCCTGGAGGCCAAAGTGTATTTGTGCATGTCAAACCCAAGAGAAGGGGGAAAAGGCATCGACCTGTCTGTTTGTCCCAACACTGATGCTGCAGGATTACAGCAGTTTGCAGGGACATAGACTGGGGTGGGGCAACCAGAGCCAGAAACAGGGCATTGGAGAAGGGTAACTGGGGTAGAAGGGAACGGGGAGGAGGTGGATACTGCAGAAATGAACCTGAAAGGGAGACAATCAATAATCTCCAGCTTTTAATGGGGTTTTACAGGTGCATTTTTTAAAAAAGCAAATGGATTCTACATTCTTATGATCCATGGAATAATTGTATTAAAGTGAATTGTAAAGTCCCCAAGGGCCCTTTTGTCTCTCCTGGTGGGTTTAAAAAGGAAAAAAAAAATGGAGTAAGTGAAATTGCAATGAGCCATTCATATGGGAGGCAGTGTGGCCTAGGGGGTACAGCACTGGATTCAGGAGACCTGGGTTCCATTTCCAGCATCGCTGTTGGCCTGTTGGGGGAGTTTGAGCACGGCTCTATACCTCTCTCTCCCCATCTCAGAAATGGGGCTGATACTGGCCTCCTTTGGAAAGTGAATTGAGATCCTTGGTTGTAAAGCGCTGCCTGAAAACTACATGGAGGCTTGCATCAGTGTGAATGAATCCGTTTCAAGCAACACCCCTTTAGTTAAGCCAGTGAAAAGCTGTGTGTAGACAAGGCCGTGCATACATCACGCTTGTTAGCAGAGACTGATTCTGAGCCCTTGCACAAACACAGCACTATCTCTTCACTGGGGGACAGGAGCTGGTTGTGTCTGATATATTAAGGCAGAGCTCTAACACCCCCCCCCCCCCCAGATCTTTTGCAACACAGACATCCAAACAGGTGAAAGCTTGTGTCCCAGTGGCAATCAAGAACCTCCAGGATGAGCAAGCAGCAGATTGGAGATTGATGGGGGGGGGGTGAGGGGGGCGGGAATCCCTTGGATTTCAATGTACTGCTATTCTAGCTCAAACAAAAGAAGGAAGAATGGCCTCGTAGTTCAGGTGTTAGCTTTGGACTCAGGAGATGCAGGCTCCTTTCTTGGTGTTGCCTCAGGATTCCTGTGTAATTTGAAGCGAGTCATTAGACCACTCGGGGCCACAGATTCTCCATCAGGAGTGTCGGGGTTGCACACCTTCCTGAACTCGCAGAGGGCCTGTGAGGGTAAATGAGTTCATGAATGTGAGCTACCAACACACTACAGAGATGAGACAGTGAAATGATCCAAAACATGGTTTGAAAGTGTATGTTCTCCACCTCGTTGCAGCGAGATGGATGTTATTGGAACAGGAAAAATGTCCGAAACTTCCAAACATGGGAGTGAAAGAAAACGACAGAAGTTAGAAAAATTCCCATATACAAGGTGGGGAAAATGTAATTCACCTTCTGGATGCATGCAGGTATTTAACCTGTATATATGGGATTGTGGGGTGTCTACAGCTAACTTGGGTATATGAGATTGTGCTTGCACATTGGCTTCAGAGTCTCACACATACACGCTATGCTGATGTCCAATGATGCACATCTCTTACATTTATAGTTATGTTCACAGGCGCCGACTTTCCCATTTCCCCGGGGGGTGCTTGACCCCTGCTCTGCCCCAGGACCCGCCCCCATTCCACACCTTCCCCCAAGGCCCCACCCTGCCTCTTCCCACCGCTGCCCTGCCCTCGCTCCGCCTCTTCCTGGCCCCGCTCCTCTCCCTTCCCCCCAGCATCTCCTGCCCCCCTCTTAACAGCTGATCAATGATGGAAGGGAGGCGCTGAGGGGGAGGGAGAGGAGCTGATTGACAGGGCGGGTGTCTATTTTTTTCTAGTGGCTGGTCCAGCCGCGGAGTACCCATGGAGTTGGCGTCTATGGTTATGTTGGGGTTTGGGTGAAACCCCATTGAAGCTGGTGGATATAACAGGCCATCCTTCGTGCAGGAGAGATGTCAAGAACACAAAGCTCCTTCATGGAATAAGAGAGCTGAAACAATAGTAGCCTCCATCCAAAGCACAGGCTATAAATAGGGATCTGAATGATGTGGGTGGACGGGTTTCACTGGGGGATGGAACACAAATGCAGGAGAGCTGGTTATAGTTGGATGAACGTGTGTGTGAGAGAGAGATGCAGCAGAAACACCACAGAAACACTCAATGAAAGCAGCAAAGGAGCCCCGGATGCAGCCAAAGATACACACGTAGTGTTGTGTCCCTTAGGAAAAAAACAGAGAGAGAGATTTTGAGCAGAGTGCTGGCTAGAAAGAGGTATGGAATTGTGAGACAAGAAAATCTCCTGTTGTTTGATTCCTGCTCTGTTCAGGGAAACAGGACTTTGTCCATGCTTTGTAAATAAACAGGGTGTATGATTGAAAACACAAAGAACTGACTCCATTGTCAATTTCTCCTCCGACTGGCAGCAACCCATAACACCCCAAACATTGGCTAAATGCTTGGGTCAAAAGGGGTAGCAGTATAGAAAGGACTTCCCCAAAAGCAGAAGCAATTTCATGGTAGTCATGAGACCTCAAAAAGGCCCTTTTTGCTGGTATAACTGCACCTACAGTAGGGCTTTTGCTGACATGGCCATGTTAGTTAGGACTGATTTTTTTTCTCTCCAAATTCCTAATTGACATAGGCAAACCTTTTAAGTGTATATCAGCCACAACAAAAAAGTCTGCTGTTTCTTGTCTACACTTGGGCTTCCAACGATGCTGCTACTCATGGAGCCGAATCAGTGCTAGCAGAGCTGTTTTCCCTCTGTGTATTATACAGCCCAGAATTATAGCACCACTGACTAATGAAAGACTCCAGCTGAATTTTGGGGGGAGAAATCTGGCCCCAGGCAAGACTTTTGGAGAATGAGCATTCACAAGAATGGCATCCATCACTGAATTCTTAGAGAGTTTCAATGAAATTCACCCTGCTAAACTGGGCTCTGTGAAACATCCCCTGACTCTGTCTATCCCTGATAGCTGCCCGTTCCCTCCTGGATTTTGTCTGTTCCTTACATAGAAAGATGGGCTGGGAGGAAGAAGATTGTGTCTGAGTTTGAGAAACTGTGGCAATTTCCGGAGGAACAAGAGCGAGTCCTGCTGGCCCGGCTGGAAGAACTGGAGAAGGAGAATGTAAGGAAAGTGAAAATGTGGCCAAACTCTTTCTGAAACTAGCATTTCTCAATAGCCTAATGCAGGGGTGGCCTTTAATTGTGCTTTCTTCTTTTCTTTATCTTTAATAAAAGGTTAAAAGGATTTTAATGGGGTGTTTGCCATGGGATTAAGCAGGCTGAGGCCAGTGTGTATCAAACCCTGAACCTTGTTGAACATTGTTTGCTGTTGGACAGTGACTGGGTTATGATAACCCCTTTGACTTTTTGGGCCCACATAGTCCATCTTAATTAACACAACACTACTACTTTAGACACCTAAGTTCAAAATTTAGGCACCACTGAGGTCGTCAAAGCCCCCACTTAGCTGTTGCCTAACCTGTAAGTGCCTTAATTCACTCAATGCCTAAAGTTTTGCTGCAAAATTCCCCTAAGTGCTTATGTTTCTGCCTCTAGGCATGCACGCTGCAGCCTCACTTGCGGTGTCTGGTTGCCTGTCTCAAGTTTGACGCCTGGTCTACGACACGCTGTTATTTCGGAATTAGCCGAGTTAATTCGAAATAAAACTGATTCCGTCCACATGACCAAACCAGTTTTTTCAATTTAAAGAGCACTTTAATCCGATTTCGTACTCCACCTCGGCAAGTGGAGTAGAGCTAAAATTGAGATTGCAGTTCTGGGTTACAGGTACTGTGGATGCAATTCGACGTTATTGGCCTCCGGGAGCTATCCCAGAATGCTCCCTTGTGACTGCTCTGGACAACACTCTCAACTCCGATGCATTAGCTAGGTAGGCAGTAAAAGCCCCGGGAACTTTTGAATTTCATTTCCTGTTTGGTCAGCATCAGCACAGGTGACCATCAGCACAGTCCACCATCACAGGCGACCATGCAGAGTCCACCATCACAAGAAACCACGCAGTCCCGGATTCGCAGACGAGCTCCAGCATGGTCTGAACGGGAGGTGCTGGATCTTGTCGCATGTTGGGGAGCCGAATCTGTTATGGCACAACTACGTTTCAAAAAAAGGAAACGCAAATATGTACGCTAAAGTCTCCAGGGCCATGACAAAAGAGGCTACTCCAGGGACACAGAGCAGTGTCGTACAAAAATCAAGGAGCTCAGGCAAGCATACCGAAAAGCCAGGGAGGTGAATGGGCGCTCTGGGTCACAGCCCCATACATGCTGCTTCTACAGTGAGCTGCATGCTATTATGAGGGGTGACGCCACCACTACCCCATCACTGTCCATGGACACCTGCAAGAGGGGAGTTGCACAGAACAAGGAGGATGAGTTTTTGGAGGACGAAGAGGAGGAGGAGGACAGCACACAGGCGGCAAGTGGGGAATCCGTTTTTGCCCCTAGCCAGGAACTAGTCTTAACGCTGGAGCCAACAGCCTCCCCCCACTCCCAAGGCGGGCTCCCGGACCATGACCCTGGAGAAGGCACTTCTGGTGAGTGAGAGCCTGATCAGAGCCACACGGTGGGAGGGTGGGGGGAAACCCATCTGCGCTGGGCTGTTTGAGTGTAGTTTAAATGGCTCATCCCTGCTCAGAGTCTCATCTGAGCCACGGAGAGGGTGTGGGGGGTGTTGTATGAATCGATCATCCCAGAGAGCCTGCAGGCCCTCCTTTTATATGGCAAACCCACCAGGCATTGCTTGCTATGCAAAAGGGGGCCCGGCAGTCTGAAAGCATTGAAATGAATGTGGAAGAAGCAGAACCCCGCATGCCCCTAGGGCTTACTGGCTGCCTGCAGCTGAATTCTGTTGCCCGGCCGTGTGTGGTGGCTTACTCACACCAAAATGGCAGGCACTTCAGTATAAGAGGTGAAATGCCTTGTACAGAAAGAACATGTGCTGTGTACTATGACTTGCCTGTTTCACTGAGAAAGAGTGTCCCCTTTGGTCTCTAAAATGTATCTTTTAAAATACTACCCTCCCTTTTTCTCCTCCCGCAGGTGAAAATGTTTCAACGCGGCCCCTATCTACTGTGTCCCAGAGGCTGGTCCAGATTAGAAGGCGGAAAAAGTGAACCAGGGATGACATGTTCACCAAGCTCATGCAGTCCTCCTGCACTGATAGGGCCCAGCTGAATGCGTGGAGGCAAACAATTGCGGAGTCCCGTAAAGCGTTACATGTACATGAAGAGAGGAGGGACGTGCGTGATGAGAGCAGGCAGGATTCTATGGGCAAACTCATGGGGGAGCAAACTGACATGCTCCGCTGTATGGTGGATGTAATGCGGGAAAGGCAGCAAAACCACAGACTGTCGCTGCAGCCTCTGTATAACCGCCCTCCTTCCTCCGCAAGTTCCATAGCCTCCTCACCCAGACGCCCAAGAACGCGGGGGTGGGGGAGCGGCTACGGGCACCCACATACTCAACCCCAGAGGATTGCACAAGCAGCAGAAAGCTGGCATATCCGAAAGTTTGATTTGGTTTCTGGACTTGTCCTTCCCTCTTCCTCCACCCCCGTAACCCAATTCGCCCCAAGCCCCGGTCTACCTTTTGATTTCTCTCAGTGTGTTGTGCAACAAAGAATAAAGAACAGTTTTTAAACAATTGTGACTTTATTTCCTTTCATATATATAGGGGGCAGGTAACTTCAAGAGAAACAAACACAACTGTCACACCGTATCCTGGCCAGTCATGAAACTGGCTTTCAAAGCTTCTCTGATATGCAGCGCACCCTGCTGCACTCTTCTAATCGCCCT